ACAGATCGGTCAACAGGCAGCACTTACCCGAAAATTAGAGACTCTCCATTGTATCTGCTACTTATCAGAGACGCGAGCTCTGTGCTCACTTTGTGACCCCCTACAGGTGACATTAACAGTACTTTCTCATGGCGCCTATCTTGCAACGATGCAGCTTCGAGCACCGGCCAAGCCGGTGTTCGTATTGTTCTGAGTCCCCGTGCTGAAGCTGCTCTGGTTGGTTGCATCCCAATCAGTAGCCAGATGTGTGCGGTCCGACTGGCTGGCTCGCTTAAAGCTTCGAATTCGCGCGGAGCTATTAGGTGTCTATTCGTCATCGCTGCCTACGCGCCAACAAACTCTAGCGATGGTTCGGTAAAAAACGACTTCTACCGCCAACTGACCGAGCTCCGCCATAAAAGAACGGACACTGTGGTGCCTGCTAAGGATCTGAACGCTGAACTTGGAAAATTATCCACTGATGAACTGCATCTCGTCGACCAACAAGGTGTGGGCTCCCGTAATGACAACGGTGAGCGGTTACTTCATAGGCGGGAAGATGTTCGCCTATTCCTTGCGAGCACTAACTTCCGACACAGCACCTGCCAGATGGTGACTTGGAGCCCACCAGCTACGGAAGCAAATCGATCACATTGCGATCAGATTCCGCTGGAGAGGATGCGTCTAGAACTGTCGCTCGATTTGGAGCACATACGTGGACACCGACCATGCACTTGCATGTGCTGACATGCGGATGCGTTTTGGCGGACGCCCACGACGATGCTGTGAGCGCACTGACCCCAGCCAATTGAAAAAGCCAGCTGTTCTGAATGCCTAGGAAAGTACGCTAACATGCGGGTTGAGTAAGCGCTCAATGGATACAGTCGAAGGTCACTCGTCTCATGTTCGCTAGACGTTCCCATAAGCAGGCAAATCCTGATGCGTTAAGTCTGATAGCCAACATGGACATTGGTCTCTTCGCAATCTCTGGAACTTCTCGACGCTTGCCAACACATTCCAGCTGGAAGCGAACATAATGAGGCTCGCAAAGAGCTTAGCGCAAAACTCCGTGCTAGCCTGAAAACCGCGAATCTTGGTGGTCTCATCATGCATCAGAGATGGAAGCGGCCGCTGTCATTAGTAGCCATCGTAAGTTATTCCGTCTGATAGGAGGAGCGGGCAGCAGGAGAATTGGTGTTAGTGAAACTATGTGATGAGAGTGGACAACCTATCCACAGTGGTTTCAGGCGGGCAACACCCAATTTGCTGCTGCTTCATCAGCTACGGTCCTAGTGATCGAATGGCCAAGGTTCACTTCAATGGGAATCGCGGTCTACTTTGAGATTGCGCGTCGCAATCCATCCACACAACGTGTACTTCAAATTCACTTTCCAACCTATCCACAACTTGTCAAAACCGTTAGAGCGTTGGGCTGATCACTTTGAAAGCCAATTTCATCGGCCGGATTTGTCAGATTTCTCGCCGGCCATTGATCGCCCTGTTCCGTGGGCTGTCCTTTTTGGATCCGCCCTTTCGCCCAGAAGTCCAATGTGATATCGGACTGTTGGAGTTGAAAACAGCCGCGGGACCAGATGATCTTTGTCCGGCACTCTTCAAGTTCGGGGGACCTGCTCTTGTGTATGAAGTACACGAGTTACTAATGAAACTGTGAGAGCGGGAAACGGTCCCAACCGATTGGAGCCGCTCCGTCATTGTCGTAATTTTCAAGGGAGGCTCACGATCGGAATGCGGTAACCACAGATGAGTCAGTTTTATCTCCATCGCCTCCAAATTGTTTGCGTCTGTCATCCTTCACAGACTGACTGACGCTCGTGAGGTCTAGATCCGTGAAGAACAAGCCAGGTTTCGTCGAGGTCGTGGCTGAATTGACCACATCTTCAATTTGTGTCAGCTGTTGGAGCACCGTCACATATATTGGCGGCCCACCATTGTCCTGTTCATCGACATCATAGGTGCCTTTTATTCGGTTGATCAATGTGCTCTTTGGAACTATCTGCTCAGGAAGGACGTGCCTGAGAAGTATGTAAATATTATCCCGGCGCTTTACGCGCGTAGCTCGAGCAGAGTGAGGGCTTACGGCAAGCTGTTGTCGCCCTTCAATATCTTCAGCAGTGTAAGACAAGGATCCCCGATGTCACCTTTCCTCTTCAACTTCCCTATTGACGAAGTCATGGAGATCGCGTCCACAGGACACGACTTGGGTGTGGAGCTGCTCTCAGGAGAATGACTTCTTGACTTGGAGTATGCTGACGATGTTGCCCTCATCTGTGACAGCTCACAAACGTGTCAAGCTGCATTGGACCGTCCAGCACTGGCTGTCAGCCGCTTCGGGCTTTACTTTGCGCCCTCAAAGTGCAAAGCATTCCTCCAAGATTGGCATGGACCGCCTCCTGCGCTGACCCCTGGTGGGCATTAGCTAGAAGTCGTTCAAAAATTCAACTACTGGGAAGTTGTATCAGCGCCCTTGATATCGAAGATGAGATCACGAACCGTATAGCAAAAGCTCGAAGCAGTGGTACGTTCGACCTTACTGTACGATTGTTAAACCTGGCCCCTTAGATCAGGGGACATAAAGAGGCTAGTTACTTTCGACCATCAGTGCGTTCGCAGTTTGGCTCACATCTGGTGGGAACATGGTGTGAGTAACGAGCGTGTTTGACGCCGTGTTTACAGCACAAAAGTGGAAATATACCGCTGAGTGCCGTTATTTCACGCACCAGGCTCCAATGACTCAGCCATGTGTTACGCATGTCAGCCCACCGGCTCCCGTGACATACGTTGTTTGCGCGTCGGGGGTGTGGACGGAAGAGCATAAGAGGTGGTCAAGCGATGACTTGGTCGAGAGGAATGAAGGCCCTCACTTCGAAGCCGGCCTCGGTTGAAGCGTCTCGGCTTCCTGATTGGGGTCCGAAAGACGATGAACACGTTTGGCTGGATACACTTGCTGATATGGCTAGGGGCCGACCTCCATGGCGTCTGTGTTGAGAGTTTCTTTGTCCCTCCCGATCTCTCTTAACTTAGCCTCCTCCTCCAACCACGATCTCATCTCTTAGCCGGTTGGTAGCTTACCGGAACGATGCCCATCCGTCACTGGTAGCTCAGCTGGCATGCATCTGTCGCATATTTTTTCTTTCATGTATTGCGGCACAGTAGCTGAGATGTTTCCCACCTCTAGCTAACGTGTAGAATGATGACGATGATGATGACAGAGCGGCGCTACTTCTGTAACGATGTGTGGAAAACACGCGCAGTTGTAATAGCTGTCGGATCGAACAACCTTCAGGCGCAACAAGGATTTCATTAATAAGGTTTTGTGAAAGCTAGTGAATATCTTTCAAGTAAAGTGTCTGCTGGATGATTACAAACAAACATTACGAAAAGCGATTTGATGATCCTAGCTGCTTCGGGTTTAATATACTTGGAAAGCACTGTAATGCAATGAAATAATTAGAAATACTTGTCCTAAATTTATCGGGTTTAGAGGGGCAAATTGAAGGTCCTATAATCGAGATACCGAGAGGATTTACAGCATCTATCTTAGGAGTAAACAACAAATAAGTCTAGCGAAAGTCAAGTAGCGCACGCGCATGAAACCTTGGGGTGCAGTCAGTTCTGCTTATACACCGGAAAAGGTGGCACAAATGGAGATAATTAACGGCACCCATGACCCTCGATGAACAGAACAATAATCAAGTGAGGACAGAGCTTTAATAGACATGAAACAAACTGTACAGAGAGCAGAAAGGTCATGTTCCACTAGAGGTGTTAAAAATAAAGTCAGCCATCATTCCGAACCACCCGCTGTTCAACGCCTGTTCGCCGATACTCCGAGCGCATTTTCAAATACAAATCTTTCATTTCTTCATAAAATCCAGGGTCTAATGTGCTTTAAAGGAAATGTATGTTACTGAGAAAGCCACATACTAATTCTTGTTACATTTCAGCGCATCAAAGAACCACTTGTGACAAATGATTGTGGCCGCCCAGCGGTATCGCATCCTGCAGTCACACCATCCTAACGTGATAGCAAAGGGCATTTTAGGAACTCACGGTCCCATAATTCCATACACTGTTTCGAACGCAAATGATCCATCATCAGAGCAGGTATTATGGTATCCTTCTCTACTGAGCTAAGCTCATGGGAATCCGGGTCACCTAAAATGGATCAAAAACATCACATAAAGACGAGGAATTCAAGGCTCAGTACGCGTCATCCATCACAATTCTCTAAGGCACAACCATTTGGAAAGAAATCGTGAGTGATGGGAGTGCTATTTCTTTACCATACGATCCAGTAGTGTAGATATTCGTGGCGCGATACAAAAATAGGCCCAACAAGTGGAGATGAACGTGCCGGCGGGACTTAGATAGGATGAAAACGTCAACAGCTGCATAATTCGTGGTGGTAAACCGATGTCTTTGGTAGCTGCCCGGTGTAGAGAAAGACAAGTTCCGTCTCTTACTCTGACAAATTAAAAATGCCTGATTAGTTCTCCGAACTGAGCAGTTTGATTGCAGACGTTTCGTCACCAGTCGAAATGGCATCCTCAGTGCGTAACGGCAAGTAACTTGTTAGCAGGTACTGAGATTCTAACAAAGCCAGAGATGAATGTCGCCGGCTACGGGGCTGTTCTTTATATACATTTCAAGCGTCAGTAGCCGTGCTTCATTCTGATTGGTTGCCTCCATAAGCGTCAACAGTATGCCGGTGCGCAGTACAGACGCTTCGATGCCGCGCATACACCACTGGTCGCACGTGGGCTAAGAATACTGCGAGGGTTGCTCTGCCTCCTACGCAGGCTCGAAACCGCGCCGTCAGATTACAAGACAAGCTTGTTACCTTTGGGTTACGGGCGTTTGCCTTCCTGGGCACTCTGCGATACACGAGCGATCTCTGTTGGCCGGAGTGAAGCTTGCGGCGACGTAAGATGGTGCCTTGCAATGCCAATGTTGCAAGTAACCATGGTTACAACGGCTGTTTTGTCCGTTATTCGTCGCTGGTCTGTATCTATTCCATTCATGGCTTCTAATCCGTCTTAGCTCCCTCTCAGCTGTTGGTCTACAACAGAGATGTCCATAGTCCGGCCCGCGGGCCCGCGTTAACATTTCAATTGGCCCGCGCCTTCATCATGAAATACTAAATCCAGGCCTGGATGTGTAATTTTTATATTAGTGTCAGACTAAATGTGGCCCGACATAGTTTTATCTCATAAAATGTGACCCTCCTTGAAAAAGTCTGGACACCCCTGGTTTACAAGATCAGCATCAATGCGCAGACTCAAGGAACACTGTGTTGAAAACCAAGCTTCCAGAAGTTTGCTTCCTTTTCTGTGTCTTCATGTATTTGAATCTCCGGTCTAGTCCAATGAACGTTGTGCCCTCTTTCATCGACGTGCATCGAAAGCAAAGATGGCGCGTAGTGGACAGAACGGCCGTTGTGACCAAGGCTATTTCACCACTGACATTGCAAGACACCATCTTACGTCGCCTAAAGGTAATCAGTCTGTTTTGTACTCTGACGACGCGGCTTCGAGTCTGCGTAGGGGGCAGAGCGACCATCGCAGTGCGACCAGTGGTGGTTGCGCGGCAACGAAGCATTGGTACTGCGCACCGGCTTACTACCGATGCTTATGGAGGCAACCAATCAGAATGAAGCGCGGCTACGGACGCTTGAAATGTATATAAGGAACAGCGCCGTAGCCGGCGGTATCCATCTCTGGATTCGCTCCAATCTCAGTGCCTGATAACAAGGAACTTTCCGGTACAGACTGTAGATGTTACCACGACTGGTGGCGAAACATCTGCAATAAAACTGCTCAGTTCGGAGAACCAATCAATACTTTAACCGCTAACCCGAGCTACCAGAGTTCAGACTTATTGAAAATGCCCATTTGCAGACGGAATGCTGGTGGATGACGCCACATTCAACGCTGTCATCACTGTATTCAACAACGAAAAGTTGCTAGGGAGACGCGGTTAAAAGTAATATCCGATTCCAAACTGAAGTGCTTGGAATTTCGGTTAGATCTGCGTAGACGTTTTACAAGATAAACTGATCAAATTGGAAAAATTCAGACTTACCTAACCCAAGTGGTCCGCAAGTTTCCTCCGAAGGCAGCACAGTAAATTCCAAGCTATCGTTTTTGGAAAATACTGGGCCCATTGAAAGGTTGGTAACTGAAGGATCACTGAAAGAACAGATAATAGAAGGACACGCTCAATACAGCTGCGTAACTATGAGCAAAAAGCAGAAAATGAAAACAGTTTTTAGTCCCTTTTGTATCGTCAGGAGTAACTGTGACATGGACTTAAGAAAAACAGTGGAAAGTAATCAAGGGAATATGTGAAAAGCCTTCAGGATAATTTATAGGGTCCCCCATCATCAATCAAGAGGTTTGCGCCTCCGTGCGCTCGCGATAGCTGAATCGATTTGCATTCGGTTGTTTCAACCTTTCATTATGCTCGCAAAAGAAGTTGCTCCATGCCTTACAGCTTCCCTGGCCAGCTAGAACGAATGATACTGAGGTCGATTGCCACAGATCAAGCTCGATAACATGCAATCGAACTGTCAGATCAATGGTCAACTTTTAGCCTCCCTCAATGATCCGTTAATTAACTATGTAACTTGACCCAATGAGTCGATTTCAGTTCATTATTTTACCCTTAAATATGATTGTAATGGTCTGAAGAGAATCATCGAAAACAATTGTTCACCTATGGTCTCGTGTTCTTTTGACTGTAAATGGGAATTTTCAAGTTCCTTACTTTTTTATCAAATTAACGTATGAGTGACTGGCCGTATAATCCAGATCAGCCCCAGTACCTTATGAAGGCCACGATAAGGTTGAAACAAAAATGTCAAGGAGACCGACACATTCAACAAGAATACCATTCATTCACTCATTCTACATGCTCCCTAGGGGCAAGAAACATCTCACTATTGTGTCGCAATGCCGGAGACATACTGATAAGGTAGATTATGATCGGATGCAAATAACCAACATCAAGTGCTACGGTGGCTGGGCATTCTCAGTGTAGAGTACGAATTAAGTAATTTCGTGTGAGCTATATGAATTAGCATAAAAATGAACGTTACCTGAAAGGCAAGTACGAATGCTGTGGGTCTGTGCGCAACACGAGTTATGGTGTCAAACACATTCTGCATCATATCGAATAAGAATGCATCGAAAAGAAGAAGGATCGTACTGTGAATCAGTTTGGTAGGAAGAGTAGTGTGCGTTTAAGTAGTGAACTGCTCCTCTCGCTAAGTACCGAAAATAGTAGCCAACAAGTGGCTGAATGGGTTCGATCTACGTAGCGGTTGTATTCTGGTTTTAAGCCATACGGAGCACGCCTGCCGAACGTGTACCAAAGTGCGCTGACATCCGGCATGAGTAAGCGCCCACTGAATACCGTCGAAGATCACTGGTCGCATATTCGTCAAACGTCACTATCAGCAGGCATGTCTTCATGTGGCAAATCGAATTGGCAGACGGGACCTTAGGTCTCTACAAAGTCTCTGGAATACATGGATGCTCGCCGATGTATTACGGCAGGGAGCGAATACAATGAGGCTTGCAAAAATCTCAAGGCAAAACTGCGTGCTAGCCTGAAGAAAGATCGCGAAGCCTGGTGGTCTCATCCTGCCTCGGAGATGGAAACAGCCCTTACCGTTGTTAATCATTGTAAGTTATTCCGTCTAATACGGGAAACAGGCAGCAGTAGATCTGGTGTTAGCGATATCATACGCGACGAGAGTGGGCAGACGATACACAGCCTGTCAAAACGCTTGGAGCGTTTGGCCGAATACTTTGCAAGGCAATTGAACCAACCTGAGTTATCGCTTTCTTCTTCGGGTATTGAGCGACCTTCTCCCTGGACCGTCTCCTTGGAACCGCCCTCACGCGCAGAAGTCGAACGTGAGATCAGGCTGTTGAAATCGCATAAGGCCGCAGGGGCAGAGAGAATTCCCCCCAGCCCTCTTCAAATTCGGGGGACCTGATTTAGTAGATGATTTACACGAGTTGCTAGTGAAACTTTGGGATCAGGAGACTGTTCCGACAGACTGAGCCGCTCCGTCATTGTCACGATTTTCAAGGAAGGCTCCTGTTCGGAATGCGGCAAACACAGAGGGATCAGTCTGATCTCAAATGCCTCTAAATTGTTTGCATCTGTCATTCCCCACAGGCTGACTGGCACTCGTGAAAGCCAGATTCGTGAAGAGCAAGCCAGGTTTGGTCGAGATCGGGACTGCATCGACCACATCTTCACCTTGCAACAATTTTTGGAGCAGCGCCATGTTTATTGGCGACCCACCGTTGTCGTGTTTCTTGACATAAAAGGTGCCTTCGACTCAGTAGATCGATGTGCCCTTTGGGACTGACTACTCAGGAAAGGTGTGCCTCATAAATACGTAAACATTATCAAAGCGCTGAACGCGCATTGTTCGGGCAGAGTGAGGGTTTATGGCAAACTCTCGCCACCCTTCAGTATCACCAGCGGGGTGAGACAAGGATGCCCGCTGTCACCTTTCCTAGTTAACTTCGCAGTTGACGAAGTCAAGGAAACAGCATTCGCTGACCACGACGTAGAACGTGTGAAACTACTTCCAGGTGAGCTATTTCATGACTTAGTGTACGCGGACGATATTGCCTTAATCTGTGACAGCTCCTAAACCTGCCAAGCAGCACTGGACCGATTAGCACTGGCTGTCAATCGTTTCGGGTTATGCTTTGCTCCATCGAAATGCAAAGTAATCCTCCACCCCTGCGCTAACGCTTGGTGGTGATCTGCTAGAAGTCGTCCAGGAATTCAAGTACCTTAGCAGTTATATTAGCACCGGTGGGATCGAAGCTGAGAGTAAGAACCGTACAGCAAAAGCTCGAGGTGCTTTTGCCAATCTCCGTCACCTGTGGCGCAGACGCGGCGTTAGTCTCGCCCTGAAGGGCAGAGTTTACAACGCAGCCGTCCGTTCAACTCTTCTATATGGTTGTGAAACCTGGGCCACCAGGTCGACAGACATAATGTGGCTCATCATATTCGATCATCGCTGCCATCGCAGCTTAGCTCAGGTCTAGTGGAACCACCGCGTGAGCAATGAGCGTGTTCGGCGTCGCGTATTTGGTGCAGGGAGGGCGAGTGAACCGTTCAGCACCATTATATCACGCACCAGGCTCCGATAGTTGGGCCACTTGTTGCGCATGTCAGCACACCGACTCCCGCGACGTGCACTGTTTGCGCGCCGGGGGTGCGACTGGAAGGAGGAGGGGAGGCCAAGCGATGACTTGGTCGAGAGGAATGAAAACCTTCACTTCGAAACTGGCGTCGGTTGGTGCATCCCAACTGTCTGGCTGGGGTCCTAAGGCCGATGAACACGTTCGGTTGGACACACTTGCTAATATGGCGAAGAGCCGGTCCAAATGGCGTTTGTGTTGTGAGTTTCTTTGTCCGCCCCCCCCCTCCCTTTAGGTCCACTCTCCAATCCCGATATCATGCAAAACGCATAATATAACATTTTATGTCATATTTTTTGTAGTGTAATTGTTTAGTCTTATCTTTTTGTATTGCGGCACATTAGCTGAGGTGTTTCTCGCCCTCAGCTAACGTGTACCGATGATGACGCCTGCTACATAACCCGTTATTCCGCGCACCATAAACACATTTTCCGCAATCCAACCAAATGATGGTGACGCAGCCTAATGGTTGCAAAATCAGCACCTGCGGATGCTTATAATTAATGGTGAAGGAACTAGGCGAATGCAGTTGTCTCGACAATCCCGTAAAAGCATCATCAATTTACATGTTAGGGAAGAAATGACTGCAAATAACATGTCCTTTGTTTTTTTTAATCCACAGAAATGAGATTGTGGTTAGAGAAAGGGAAAAATAACTTACAAGATAAACGCCAGTATGGTCGGTTCCTGGTCACGTCAACATGTGCGTCTGGCCAAAGGTACTTATCCTTTTTCGGATCTCAATCTGGTAATCAGGAAGCGCCAACCGAGGCCAACTTCAAAGTGAGGGCCTTCAACTGGTCTTCTCTCATCTACACCCCGGTAGTGCAAACAACCCGATGCAGATGCCGGTGTGAGGCTGGACCTTACCGTGGTGCGATGGTTTGTGTGCCTCAGTGATTCATTGAGCTATATGGGTGGTGCATTTTGCACATTCAGAGTCAGAGCTGCTGGGAGGAGTCAGTAGAGTGTCATCAAACCCCCCCCCCTACTCGTTAGTAAATACATGATAGTTGTCTCCTGAGTGCCTGGCTTAAATTCCACTGACAGACGCTTCACGTCCGGTGATGCCATTCAGCGGTTCGGGGTAATAACATTGTTGGAATGCACTCGTTGCATTGGCCTACGTCGATTTGGCCTGATATGAACTAACAATTGGCCATATGGTTGCATTCTGAGTTCACAATATCTCTAATAGCAATAGATCCATCGCAATGAGGCTGGACCTTACCGTGGTGCGATGGTTTGTGTGCCTCAGTGATCCATTGAGCTATGCTGGTTGGTACTTCTCGAACCTTCAGAGCCACTCACACCAGATTTATCAGTGGTTAGAGACCAGAGAAACTCAGCCTCCTGGTCCCCCAGTTTGGGAGTTGGAGTAAAGGTGGCTCCTTATTCCTAAAGACGGACTCTTTATAGCCCACTGCCTTGTGGTGAGGTTTTCGAACCAAGGGCTTTGATTGAGTCCTAAGTGTTCTTGTATATAGGCCTAGACAACCTGACAGCATCCATCCTCAACAAGTTCTTGATGCTGTGGTCATCGCAGAAGATACACAACGGCGCCCTACCTGATGCATCGAGCAGGGTGGATAGAGGCTTGGATGGTACTAATTAAGTCTTCCCATCTTTTAATTCCGCCTCTTACGTTTTTTCACCATTATGGTTCCGTTCCCAATTCACGTTATCCACCCGTTTTCAACCCTCAATTCTTGGACCTCCCCCACCTTGCTTCGGTAGGCTTTTACCTTCTAGTTTCAAACCACAAACAAACACGGAGCGTCACCCCTGCACCATCGAAAAGCCTATGTCCAAACAAGCGGTCCAAGCCAGTTCATCGGTTTCGATTTGGACCACTCGATTCTCCCTCAGATTGACATGCGTCAGTATAGGCACACTGCTACAGATCGGTCAACAGACAGCATTTGCCCGAACATTAGAGGTCCTCTTCATCGTAT